ATCATGAGAAGATTTCAATTCGACATGTTATTGGTTCACTGTAAAAGATAATGTTTAGCTAGGCATTAGTCATTATTTTCATGAATTCAGTGAATTAAATATTTTTCTGGATTATTTCAATATCGTCGAAATCAATTTTGTGACTTCATTTTATAGCTTATGGTCTGAAAGCTACATCTATGTCTGATGGTTTTTGAAGCTTTTCTAGTTCAACTAGATTTCTCGGTGGTAGGACATATGCTCTATGGTGTACATTTCTCATGAATCTAATTTCTCTCGATATTTGTCCGATGTATGTGCAATCACATTCCAAGAACTTTATTTTGTAGATGCAATTAGATTGAGAATCCCTAGGGAGTTAATGTTTTAAATGGACAAGGTTGCTCTGTAATGTGTGAGCATGACGTTTTGGAAAAAACTCCAATGTGGTGCTTAATGAGTACTCTTCTGATATCGTCTGATTTTTCTCGTCTATATGGAATGACAACTGTTGAGTTACATGTCTTCGGAATATGTTTCCGACCATATTTCATGTCGGTGTAGATTTTCTTGATGAAGTTCTTTGAGTAGTTATTTTTCTTGAGATCCTCAGTAATGTTTGATATTCCTTCCTCAATCTCCATCTCATCTGCTATCAAAGAGTGAGCTTGTCTAGGAAGACTTGAAACAACTGAAAATTATGCGCTGATGGAGTGTGATGAGCCTAAGTTTAAATATTTCTTGGAGTGGGTTTTCTTTTTGAATACAGATATATTAAAATATCTGTTTTCCCTCCACCTAACTAGATAGTCTAGAAATGGTAATTCACCGATGTCTGATTCTGCCTCTGAAGTAAACTAGATGTTGGGAGATAGATTGTTCAATTTCTCCAAAAATAAACTGTGTAGGTTTCGTTTTAGCCCAACAAAAGTATCATTAAGGAATATGAACCACATTTTAGGCGTGATTATGCTTGAAAAGATGTTATCTTCAAATCTATTCATAAAAAGATTAACGACAATCGGGGAAACTGGCAGTTGTGGCATTAGTCATGACGTTGGTTACTGCCTCGTATCTAATCAATGTGTGTTGCAAGTTAGTTTACAGGAAATCCATTCTAGACACAAATCTCATGTTTATTAGCACCTACTGCAAGACATTCCCATGTACAACCTTGACACAACAAATACGTTAACTGGTACTGAACCATTCACCAAAATAGTGAGTGGTGTAGATTTTGAAACTAGGAGATATAAATAACAAAAGTCTCCGAGAGACTGCATATATACCATGTTGGTAGTTGGCTAATAAACACAAAATCTAAGTCCAGGGCACATTATACACTTGTACAACAGACTTCTGTCACTGCCAATGGTTTATCATCCAGATTGATTATCACTGTTGTTGCCAAATAACCAATCGTATCAGACAACTATCATGACAACAAATAACCACCAGGAAAACTTATTGCACAGAAAACAGTAAAACTACAAAACCAAATTTCATAGGCCAATAAATATACATGGTAGCATGTTGTCAAAAGTAAAACAGACTGAGAATACATAAATAATTATTTTAAAATCTTCGTAATAATGAGATTTTCTGAGGTAGCGAATCGACTATTACCCAGAAGTCAATCAACTACGCTGAAACGCAAAATTCAGCGAAATTCTAACCGATGGCCTTCAAGTCATGTGATGAAGAATGCAGAAAACACAGTATAGCAAAGTGTTCATATCTCTTCAGGCGTAGATAGTAAATGCGACTATTTAGTCACAAACTCATATTTGGAATATTGTGCAGTGTTTATCGGCTGTATTCAATAGGCGATTTTCCTAGCCTTAAGTGTTATTTAGACTATGGTAACTAATCAATGGACGCGCATTTCGCCTTATTTGAGACACCTTATATGAGTGTACATGTGTCCCAGTGAGTGTTGGTTACTCTACTGAAATTCGAACTAAGTATCCATGCCTTCAAACACCAAGGCAATATCCACTTACCTAGAAATTCTTATGTCCACAGAGACAGAACATATCGTTCTGCAATAATCAATCAACGAGGAATTGAAAATGACTAAAATTTTCTACTAACTGTCGGTTTGATCGACAATATAGATGATTTCACAGAACTTACCTATTTGCGAAATAATCATCATTTGACTCTTAATACTGGACTTTAATGTCTCTGTCTGTCTGGATTCAACATAGAACTTCGCACCGAAGTGCACCAGTTCGAGTTGCCACGTTCCAAATAGCACACAAAGGTAAACAAGAAGATGAGTGAAGAGAATCAGTAGAGTTTGACAAGTATAAGAGTGAAACAGAATGGGTAATGGTAGAAAGGAATATGAAAGATTACAGAGATTGAATACATCTGCGCTGGCCATTGACAACGATTTTGAGCCATGTCACCTATTGTCTCCAGCCATTGATTCCTAGAGTCCCGAGGCCCCAACCAGTCAGGAAGTCTGCATCTCCCTACCTGACTCAGTTTAACTGTCAAGGATTTCATGGATTGATGCCATGTTTTTGTTTGGCCACCACTGGCTCTTTCCAACCTTTACCTATATCAGCTAGCAATGCCCGTCGGGGGAGGCGGTGGTTAGGCATGCGCACCACGTGACCTAGCCATCTTAGTCTATGTAACTCTATAGCCTCGTCGATTGATTTTCCCTCTTTGCCCAACACTCTACGCCTAACGTCAACATTACTTATCTTGTGAAACCACTAACGTGAGACAGGGATCGCAGACATCTATGATCGAAAGCAGTCAACCTTTTCATGTCTTCAACTCGTATTGGCCATGTTTCAGAGCCATAGAGAAGGACGGAGCGAACTGCTGAGCAGTACACACGTCCATTGGTCGATAACCGGATGTCACGCCTACGCCAGAGATGGTGTAAGTCAGCGAAAGCAGCTCGAGCTTTTCGGATCCGTGCTGAGATTTCGTTGCCAATCAGTCCGTTGGTGCTAATACAACTTCCCAAATAGGTGAAGTGGTCAACATGTTCTATCACTTCACTGCCTATCACTAAGTTAGGAGTTGACGTGGTCCAGTCCTGTAGCAGCATCTTACATTTTGTAGGGGCGAATCGCATGCCAAACATACGAAGATTGCTGCTCAAAGTGTTCAGAAGACTCTGCATTTTGTCAGCATCCTCCCCTAACAGGACTATGTCATCTGCATATTCTAAGTCCATAAGACTATTCCCTGGTAACAAGTCGATTCCTAAGTCATTACGTTCAGTTAAGGATACTTCCATTAGCATAGAACTTTATAACATAAGTCTAGTGTGTATCTGTTAACTATAGAGACGTTCGTCTATGATATCAGATAACCTTATTGATATCTACCAAACTGATTAAAGTTTGAATGTCTGATTATGATATGCTGATTAGACAACCAACTGGTTATCGCCTAACCTGTATTTACTTATAAATTTATCTTTTTTTCTCATTCCGGATGACAAAAGAATATCTGCCAATGGTTCTATGAAACTGCTCGACCGTCTGTCTACAGAAATGTCATTACACTATACCATGGCATCCATATAGTGTGGTGATTGATTGTGGGTTTTCCCAAAAAATTCAGATTGCTTAGATAATCCAGAGGATTTAAATATTTCACACTCTACTTCCTTGTTTTTATAAAAACTAGACTGTGGATGAGAATATTTTTTTGGATTGATTTGCAGCTTCTTGGTGGGATTCAGCTTTTGAGGTTTTAAGAATGCTGAGACATTTTAGGTTTCTCTCGTATAATTGAATCCTGATATGTACGATATTAGTACTGCTGCCCTGGTTGGATAATTTCAGTGAAATATGATATGGGTTGATATGACCAGAACTACTAATAATGCTGCTTGCAAGGCTCGATACGTGAAGGCGAAAAGTAACTCGTCTAAAAATAGATTATCGAACACCGGCTACCAATCACTTCTGATCCCCAGGACCCACACAAATAAAGACAGAAGACTCCCTGAACCAAGGCGGTGAGAACAGTCCGTGTTTGTCATACACAACATATTACACAGAGATATTTTAAACCTAGAAAAGTCAAGGAAATAAGTGTACTAGTTTAATTGTTTACATAACTCAAATCTTTAGGGTTTCCTGACCTCATTATAATTTTGCTTCTGCCTGACGCTCTCATATATCCGGAATGTTGTAAGCTAATCTAAGCCTATCATAGCTGGTTTTATTATTTGGCGGAATCGCCGCAATTTTCAGATTTCACTAACAGTTGAAAGCAGTCAAGGGATATTAAGCTTCAGAAATAGTGGAGATTTGTAACTCAAATGAATATTTTGGTTTGTACTGTTGTGTTCCTTGAAATGGATGGTTAAATCGTGAAGCTTTATTGGCATTCACATTAAGCATAAGGGTAAGCCCGAAGGATAATGAAATTTTCACAATTAAACTATCCAGACAGTTCAAGTAGTTGACTTTACCTAAATGTAGGTTTCGAGCACTTATAAGGAAGACGTGTTTGCAACACATCTGGTCGGTCCCAGAAACTACGCTCCACTTATGTTAAATCAGATTCTGTCATTCCTATCAATCAGGTTACAAAGCATTATTAAACTGGATGCATAAAACATCTATTTATTCAATTTTACTTCTTTACGTTCCCAGTGGAACGTAGCCATTTTAAGCTAGAGGAGTGGTATTTATTTTTACGGGATGGGGTTGATAGCCTCATACCCAAGCTTCCCTCTTTAGCAGTGTTATTACTGGGTTGGCGAGGTTAAGGAGTGCATCGGCCATGGACCGAACCCCGAAACACATGCGTGGTCAGGGAGCATCTTATCACTGTGCAGCCGACTCACCAATATCTACAGAGGCTTTATTCTCATACATTCACGTACGCACGTACACGCACATATGCTAATATCAATGTCCATAAATTGTTTTATTCACGATTACTGAATGACATTATGAGATATACAAAAAATTGTGATATTTGTGCCTCACATGATTATATACGCATAATATTTATTTCCTTATTTTCGTTTTTAGACGTGCCGTGTTATGAAGACGTTATCGCCATTTTTTCGTATGATCATTATATATGTAATTGGATTGTTTGGTGGTGGACTAGTTGTCCACCTTTATCACATACAACGTGACGATAATTTATATACATCAGTTATCAGTGCTGCTAAATCACCACAACTGTTGACTAATGATGACGCGTATAAACACTTGAGTAGGTCATAATTTTTCCTCCTGCTTTAAATTAATGCTTCTTTTCTTTCTTCTAAAAATGTAGTTCACTCCAATGATTCAACTCATGAACATGCTTTACAACATTTGGGTGAGTATGAGTTGATTTTGCTCTTTTTTGGTTTTGTTTCATTTTGTCTTTAGCCAGTATAACAAAAATAATGACTGTTCTTCAGACAGATGTACAACAAAGTAATTTAGGAGGGTTTGTCACGCTTATATATATCAGCTGTTTTCAGCTGGTGAGATTTCTCGAAATTTAAATATGCACATTTTATGCTACAAATGTTGCTTTGTTTTGCTTTGAGACTGCAATAGATCCAGCACAAATACCAATTTTATCTTGCATGACATTCATTTTTCAATGGTCGCCAGCACACGCCCATTTGATAATCACGATGGTGGTCAGTCTAATGTGTTGTTTTCTCATTGATTAAAACGACTCAACCAATCAGATTAATTCCAGTTTCTGGTGCACATATTTATTGAACGTGTGAGGCTGATTATTGTTTTCGAAAAGTATGCCAGAAAATAATAGCACTAAAGATGCAAAGTGTGTATTTAAATGCTTCTTTTTCGTTGGACGAAATGTCAAATTTTGTATATTATTCATCAACAATAGTAACCACGCGCATGTTCAAACATTTTTTTGTACTGAAATTAATTCATTTCCCCTTACTGTCAAAGGACTTAACCTGACGGATAAAAAGTGAAAAAATAGTTAGGATTCTGTGTCAAGCAACCAAAGACTTTGGTTTCGAATCCCGCTAAACTAATCCCAATATATGTTTCGCGCTTGATTTCTTTCGAAACCTCACTAACTGAATAAATAAATCTAGGTTGCGGTAGGCAATCTTCAGGCTAGTAATCTGGACTTCATTTCATCCTCAATTGCTACTCAATACACTAGTAGCCTTCTGCCAACCCATGACAGTTACATCATCACTTCATGGTGCGTCGGTGGCACAGTGGTTAGGACTCTCGCCGACCATGCACATGGTCCGGGGTTCGAGCCCACACCGGCGCACATCTGATATCTATGGTCGGCCTGCAAAATTTGGGCTACCGATATCCATGCTGAAAATTCCATACTTGTACCAAAAATACAGTGTGGAATCAAGCTGTAAATCAAAAATAAAAAAAATAAAAAAAAATAATTCGAAATTTTAGGAGGAGCAGTTTGTTGATTGACAAAGTGGAGTATGTTTCTGAAGGAGACTACTTAAGAAACATCGGCACTGTTGACGAAATTGTAGTATCCACACTGTCAGTATGCTCACAATTGTCATCTAGATGACCAGTGCATATTATTGACTCTCAAGTCCGCCTTTGTCTAATCTGCTGTCACCAATTTCGATCACTTCTATACCATGTCTTTTCATTTTTTCTGAAATCTGAGCAGTTTTGCAGTCTCAAACATTGTTCCGATATTCCATGTCCATATGCTCACTGACAGGTCTCCCAAAGCCTTCACCCTCGAGCGTAATTCGCCTTCGAACGGAGGTGTCCTTCGGATAAAAGATGTGGATGAGTGTACTTTTTATGTGCTTTGAAGTTTTTGCAAAGATAGCAGTGGATTTTACGGGTTGGGGTTAATAGTCGCACGCCCAATCTTCCCTCTTATCTCGGCTTTACCCAGGTTAGTAGACTGCGTGATATTTAAAAACGAGGCAGGGAAGAATCAATTCAGAGAAAGCATATCCAGAATCGAAATAAGTAGAGTTTTATTTTATCTTGATACAAGTAGTAGAAGAGGAACACAGGAAAATGGCATAGTGTATCATAAATATTGTCTTGAATAAACTGACCATCCTCCTTAGAAAATTAGTAGTCCATAGGTCAAAGCATGGCAGATGTAAGGATCAGAGATCATATTAAGAAGCGATGGAGGTTGTTTTGCTCAAGTGATCGATATAAATTGGATTGTTTGATGTGAGGCTTTTATTGCTTATCTAGACAACCAAGATCTTCAGTTCTGAATTCAGTATAAAGTGAGGTTTTGGATTCTATATGAGTTTAATAGCTGTCTCATTCTTTGACCTAAAACATGATTAGTTTTCTCCACAGATTTCCTCACCCGAGGTTGGTACTCATTGAATTTCTGTAGATAGATAATTCGGGAAAGAAGAGGTTCTATCAGCATAGACATAGAAACATGCCAGTTTCACGTAGTAATGAAGGTGAAATCTAATGTTCTGTAGGCAACAACACAAAGAGCACCAAGTATCCTCAAAAAATCTTCAGTCTCCTATTCCTGGCTCTAATTTTTCAGCTTCGTGTTGTATGCCAATAATTTCTTTTTCCTTATAATCAAAGTTTTCTGGTGATTTAAATCACTAGGCTCTGGTCAAACAAACCTGTAGGATTCGAACCACCTGTCTCTAGATCATTAGTCTGGCAGTCTATCAGCTGAGCTATCAGACCCAGTTGCTTGCTGGGTAATAAACGAAAACATATGTGTTATTTATTTTTATAGTAAGTGGAGATTACCCGTGATGACTTGATTACCAACTCAGCTGACGAAGTATCGGAGTCAGAAATCAGAGGCAGATGTCTCGAAAGTTGCCTTGACCCATATTTTCATATTGATTCGTTTCCTGCACAAGTACACATCCATAACTCTATCGAGAATTGAACTCAGGGCATTCAGGTAAAAAAACTTACCCGTTAAACATTTATCCATCGGGTCGGAATCCAATTGGTCCGTGAATTCTTACTTCGGTCGATTCGCGCCATGCAATGCCAACCACAAACCACTACCAACTAGCACCTCTGATGAGGTTGTCTGGTTTGCACGTCTAGACAGTCCCAAAATAGGACGAAAAATCTGTTTAGTAATCCCTGAATCGCAGTGATTCTTAAGCTAATATCACTTCTTAATCTAACTTGATATCAGTGTGCAGTCAAATAGTAATTAATTCATAAGTAGTATGGTCATTGTATTGGGTGTTTTACATTTTCTCCAATTACTCACGTCCATATGGTTATTCACTTTTGACAGGTGAATCAAAGAAGAGACTCTTCTTTGAGATATTTAATTAGCTACAACTGTACAATCGTAGTCCTATGTAATTTGTGACATGAATTCGACCACTGATGGATCTATAAAAAGCCTAATAATTGATTATTTTGTAGACGCTAACCATTACTATCTCTGCTATCTGTCTCTCTTAATTTATGTACCGATTAAGACGAAAATAATCTGTCAAAATCATTATCTGCTCGCCTCGTCTTTATTAATGAAGTTATAGTTATTGAAATAGAGAATCCAAAGCTTTATATACAGGAGAAACTTATTCAATCACTGTTCGTTTAAATTCATTTGTATTACTCGTTGACTGGTCTTGATTGAATTGGAACGCCCTTAGTTCAAACGATTTGAAGATGTCTGAAAATTGTTACGTTGTTCTTTGGTTGGCAGTGGCTAGTATAGGAGTATGCTCACTTCATCCTTTTCTCGTCTCGTCAGCTTGATATATTTGCCCTCTCAGTGAGTGATGGTGTTTCCACAACCAAAGACAAAATATTGATTAATTCATGAAAAATCCCTATTCGAACATTAATAGACAGAAGAGCAGCAGTTCAGCGAAGAGTCTCTTTTCGGCGAATTCATTTTCATAACTGTACATTCGCAAATATACATGGTTATTTTGTGTGAGTGTGTACATTAAATCTGTCAAACAAAAATACACTTAGTAAGCCTTTTGTTGGATCCATGTATTACAAAATGCGTTCAAATGAATTGATGTTAACCTAAGTAAATAACAACTGGTACACGCTGAACAAGAGGTAGTCGCTATGGCCCAGTAACGTCTTGGCATTTGAAAGGATGGGTACTAGGTTCCATTCTTCGTAAGCACTCTATTATTCCCTGCGATCCAGATCCATTCATATGACCAGTTCCTAATGGAACGGAATGAGTATCATTTATTCCATCGCTAGTCACTACCAATCGAGTAACATTGTTCACTAAATTTTGAATAAAGTAACAATAGAAATAGAATTAAATGAAATTATGCGATCTCACATTTTTCTGTTTCTATGCTCATTTTGATAGTAATTTATTCATGTAAATACTTCATCATACTGTACAACCTCTTATCACATATGAGATTATTCGCCTTAGTTCTGCTTCCATTATATTTCGATCGAAGCACTTACTAATCGTAGCACATGTTAGTTAGTATATTTATCATTTATTGTGTGTCCGTTTCCTTTTTGAGTAATTTTATCTGTTATAGGATTGACTGTAAATAAAATTGGAGCTGGTTAAGTCAAAATCTGGCATCAATCCATGAAGTGTTTGACTGTTGTTTTGAGTCATCCACGTAGGGAGGTATAAGCATTCTGGTTAGGTTCTTCAAGACACTTAGAAGCAAACTATGGAGACCGTCAATGATACGGTTCAAATTCATTTTTTAATGCATTTCACGGATGCATTTACTCCTTCCAGATCCTTTAAATGCTCCTTATTCTCGAAGTATATATTCTATCTCCTATACATTCTCATTTCTTCACAGTTCTTTCATCTTAAATGTGTTTCACAAAGTATATCTGTAGCGCGATGCAGATTAGCAAGAAGTGGCTAAAACTGAAATCAATATTTCAATTCAATGGCTGAAGAGGTAGAAGTGTTTATTCCTCAAATGTAGATTTATTTTACGTTGTAGATGTGGAGCGACTCCATTGAGCGACTTGTTTGACCTTGGGCCGATTGCCGACCAATCGAAACTATCTATTCCCCTGAACCAGGCCGAAATATGGGTGGCTAAAATGTATAAGTATAATGTATTTTTCCTCAATAAAGGTCTGCTACCAAGTCTGTTATCTTCTCCGGTGGTGCCCTTTTTTAGAGTGAAGTTAAAGCACATTCCAAAGTACACCTGTTTGAATGAGCGCCCCCTGGATATAAGTAAAGACGAAGAAATATTTTTGATGCAATAAGCCAAATATTCTGGCCTGATAAATTAAAAATGCAATTATTTTGTTTAACTCTGAAGGCTTCTGCTCGGATATAACTATCAAAACACATGTTGATACAGACTAGAAAGATTTCTTCAGTGAAACTAGTAAGTTTAATGGTTGACCGCCCGGAGTTCAGATGACTCCGACGTGGCTAGCAAGCACTCGTGGTTCGTTTGATGGGTGCCCGACTACTCACTTCAGTTAGTAAGTAATGTGTATTGTCTTCCATATATGCTTGCTTTTCTCATTGCCATTTACGGTGTCAAGCAGATCACGCATTGTGGTCTGAAATTTCCCCTCGAAGTGTGTTGATTGCAAATTGCGTATTCGATTTATTGCGAGTAGAATGTTCTGTATCTTTAAAATGAAATTTAAATAACTTTTTAAAAACTTCTTGTTTTCGTCGGTATGAGTTCGAGAATTCGCGTAACGTCCGAAAACAACTAAGGGTGTGACTACTATTCAATTCTAATGGTATACAAAAATATAGCCAAGTTATTACTCCCAATCTACAATTACACTCGGTGTTCTTTTTCGTTTTTATTTTTTGTTCTCTGCTTTATTTCAAAGAGTGTTGGTATACTGCTTCGGTAAATAATACACTTAGACAACCAAATTAACCTGGAAAAACTAATTAGATGGTTTTGCTTTTGACAAAACACCCATTCCATTCTACTCTGTGATTTTATCCAGGATGTTTCCTCAGTTGGAGTCAATTTAGAATTGATTTAGAGTTAGAATTAAAATTAAGCTACGATGTTCAGGAATTGGTGTTGGATTTCGTGATCATTTATCAAAACCTACATTTTGCAGCTTTTTAAATATTCTATTCATTTATTCGTCTGAAACATAATTTCATAATCAAATTATTATTTTCTGTAATTATGTGACTGTTGTCATTGGGTTTCTCCAAAGTCATTTGGTGATAGACTGTTCACTTTATTTACTAGTCATTTGCAAAGCAGTTGCTGAATATATATATATATATATATAATATTAGTACTACATGCTTTACTCAGATGGTTATGTTATTTGCCTAGTGCAAATAGTATTGATCGAAGCTGACAGTCGACTCAGTGATCTTGAGGTGGCCAATCACAGTTTTTTTAAGGGATACTACACATCCATCGGAGAAATTGAGTTTATCATAATAATGAATGTTGTTCAGGATTTAGAGAAAAGTATTTCATGCGAAAAAGTTGTTTAAATTAAACTCTAAGTACAAGTTATTCGAATGGATGTCAACACTTCGATGAGAAATAGGTGTTACTTTTGTACAACTTATAAATGAGAAAACTCTTTAATGTTATTTTAGGTTTCGGACACTTCATGAATGAGCCGTTTTTGCAACTAAGTTATCCTAGAGAATCATTCACTGAGAGTGTTATTCTTTAACTGAGGCGTATAAAATGTTTAATGAACGCAGTTATGTGATTTGTGTAGTTTACCATCAGAGTTCTAGTCATCAGTCAGCGTTCATTTATTATAATCTGTGTTGTTCGTGGTGTTACTGTTGTTGTGTTTTGTGTTTTACAGCTGAAGCAACATTGGCTAACGCATTGGCTGAACAAGTACGCGTATTCTGTTGGATAGTTACAATGCCAAAAAATCATCAGTCAAAAGCTGTTCACGTTAAAGCAACATGGGCTGGTCGATGCAATAAATTTTTATTTATTAGTAGTGAAAATGATGAAAAACTTCCATCAATAGGTAATTGTGTGTGATTGTCTGTGATTGTTTGTTTTGTTTTATGAATATTTTCTTAATCTGTTAAAAGCTATACTGTTAAAGGAGTTAGTGATTCTAATATGGAAATGTGTCCAGATTTCTAAATCACTTGACTTCGTATAAATCACTCCGCAAATAGTCGAATTTTTCTAATCAATCGGTTGGTATCATTAATTCCCAAAAACAAATATGGTGATGAATCTGAACGACAAACCATTGGTTAAATTTATCTTCAATCAGTCAGTGATGAAGCAAACTCCATGAGTTAATCAAATTACTCAGAATAAAGAAATTGTAGGATAGACAGTTTTGATGACAAACTTCAGTGAGCCATATTGAACTGCTTTGTGGAGTAGATGACCACAATAGTTTATGAAGATTGCAGACAAACAGTACTAGTAGTAGTGAACCCGTACGAAATTCAAGCCAGAAAAATCTATCAAAAGAAAGACTCATAGTTGAATTTAAAGCGGTGACATTACTATCGAGATATTTGCAAAACTGTTCACTGTTGTGGGTGAGGCAGTAACTCGTTGATGAAGACATTGCGAAGTGGTTGTGTTATGTCATGAATTGACAGAAGTTAGAATCATGGGCCGTTGGACTGTGTCCCAGTGGCTAAATGGCCTACGAGCTCGCCTTTTAACGAGCCTTGGCGGGTGCGTACTGCTGCAGAGTCCCAAGCTAGGACGAAAAAGTCTTTCAGTACTCCTAACCTGTTTTCCAAGGGTTCTCTAACTGATGTTTGCTCATGATGAAATCCTCCAATAAAACTTATTATTTTATCGATAGATTCTTATAACTGAGATGGCTAAGATTGTGAGATATATTATTTTAGATGAATATTGCTTTCATGGATAAGTCTTTCTCTTCTTCGTCATTCTTTTATGATCCTAGTGGAACACAGGGCTTCAAACTTAGAAGGTTGAGTGACGTTGGTGTTGTTTTAGGGGATAAGGCTAATGACATCACTGCCTATCTTTCCTCTCTTTCAGCGTCAATACAGGTCAGTGAACTAGGCGGGGCTAAGGCATGCATCCTCCAGGAATTAAACCCCAGACTAGGATACGTAGCTAGCAGTAAGCCATTACTGATACTTGTACATTTCAACTAAATCTGAACAATACACGGTCATTTCGTTCGTTTTTCATCTAACTTATCCGATGAGCACTGAGACGCCTAAACTCAGGGAGTCTATTTATTCAAACCATTGGAATCCTAAATAGCCTTCTAGGCGGATGAATATTGTGAAGCATGGGGCCATTTTTTTTTAATTTCATGGATAGAGACATATTTTTAGGTTAAACCTAAACTATTTTGTAGTTGAACCTGAGCAGTAGAGGATGTGGTCAGTAAGATAGGCTGTAACAGTATTAGTCAGATTTCCAGGGCGCCTAACTTCTGAGTTATTTTCACTACAGGAAAGTGCTTATGAATAATCTCACTTTAGAATGTAAAGAATGTTTTCTAAATTTACTTAGAAGTCGCTGATTCATATGAGAAAGTTCTCTTTGGTTGCTTCACTTGGCGGCAGTCAGCTTTCCTTTACTTACTTTGGTCAGTATTTTTTACTAATGATCAGTGCTGTGATTACTCGCATCCAGCTAAATTATCTTCATTTCTTTTTGTATGTTTATGTAGTAGAATTATATGCAGCCTTTTAGATGACGATAATGAATTAACTGAGGTAATACCTCCTGAGTACTTTAGATTCTGACTGACTCAAATGTGGATTAGTAATGCACTTACCCTAACCTTACCACATGATAAAAGATATCTTGAAGCAATCGAGGTCTCTACAAATCCAAAATATAAATTCTAAATTTTATTTTTTCAGTATAAATGAATCTAAATCATTTTTAAAAATATTTGACTCACTAAATGGTAGGAAGCCTGCCAGCCACGTTCGGCCGTTAGTAAGCCCGGTAAACAGGAAACGTTTTGTAAGAGTCCAGCGACCCTACCTCTTATAAAACAACATCTCCGCTGCTGAAATTTTAATACTGAAGCAAAGGAATGAAAAAAGAAATTGCTTGTATTAGTGGAACCCTTATTTCATGGGTAAAGTTAGCAATTTGTATTTTTAAGCCTTATGCAGTTCATTCTGAGCGATCAAGTCATCCTGGTTGCAAAACAGAATTCATAGTTAAGGTATTTGAAATTAAACAATATTTTCCTTTTCTTTGAATACTAATACGAATATAACGAAATACTTGTCGTGGAAACATGTGGTTAGAGCACAGTTGTAATCATCACTGCCCCTTACTTTACATTTTAAATGCATTTAAAACTTTGTAAGTTCATAAAAGGTTTTTACAATATTCGAGCTGCATTCATGCTGATTTTCGAAATCAAGAAACAAAATACTACCCACCTTCTAACATGTTTGACAGCGTTTCCACATTTGCGTCGGTGGCACAGTGGTTGGGTCTCTCGCCGACCGTGCACATGGTCCGAGGTTCGATCCCCTGCCGACGCACGCTTGATACCTATGGTCGGCCTGCAAAATTTGGCTACCGATATCCATGCTGAAAATTCCATACTTGTACCAAAAATACAGTGTGGAATCAAGCTGTAATCAAAAATAAAAATAAATAAATAAAATTTCATCACTTACCGATATCGGCAAGAGAAATGTTGAAAACCCGAGGCCAATAGACAGTTGTTTTGTCCAAGTTTCAGATTTACACCAATCACCCCACCAGAAGTCAAACCCAAGACTTTCAAGATTGGCTCCAACCATCTAATACTTTCAAGCTATGTTGGGAGGGCTATCCATCATTCAGCCACTAAGTTGAATTACAATGACCCATAAGTCCTAATTCCTGTCAATTATCTATACAGTACCACTGCTATGGATCCCTGATAGGCGTGTAAGTGCGTTATACAGAAGAACCTTAAACTAAGTTTAGACAACTGTCAGGCTCCCTAGTTTTATATTTTTCTCCAAGTGATGTCGGTTCCTGACAAAATCTACACTGAAATTAACCAGTGTCCATGAAAAAATTGAAGTCTTTATCGATTGTCTTCATATTCATTCGTCGGAAAATGTTTTCTGTATGTGTGTATGTGTGCGCTTCTTTGTGTTAAAATGAACCCTGAGAATACGAATCCGTACCCAGCTAGCTACGTCTTCTCCTGTCATAGTAGATTAGAAAGAGAGGAGCAGTTGATTAATGATGGTTGGTGACACTATTTAAGATGAGATTAGGTTGACAGATTTGTTATTGCCGTGATGTGTGATTGTTATTTGATGAAATGAAACATTCTACCATCTTTGTCTGTCTAGACTAATAACATTAAAGATACTGTTTGATCCTTCAACCGCCATTACTGTCAGCTACTAATGAATAAAAATGAGTATACTAAAACTGTCAAGAAGTGAAAAAATCAAGTCGTTTAATTATTTATATCAAACAAAGACACACGTGTTTATTGTTGCAGATTAAACCCATCTTTTCTCTCTCGCCTCCAATACGTCACCATTCAGAAATATAAGCATAGATAAAAAGAAAGACTGGCACATGCATATATAATTATTACTGATTCAATTAATCTGACACCTGAGGTGATTCGAATACTAGACAGCCAGTTGGCTTGTTCTGCTATCGGGTTGATCAAGCAATTTCTTTGAAGTGATTCAACTAAAAGAATCGTATCCTTTAAACTAACCAGGAAATGGTTAACACCTAGTAAATTTATATTGGAAAGTTATTTAAGATAAAAGGTGTTATCAAATGTCATTGAAATTCGAGACTTTATGTCTGATATAAGTTGTCATCACTATGAGTAGATATAGGTTCTGTAAAACGTAAAGCTGTACTGAACACATGGATGAATGAATGTATGAATGTGTGTCAGTTATGCCTCAGATTTGATCATTCCTATGGCGGTTACTTATGCAGTATGGAACTATGGAACAAAGTATCGTATTGCAAGCATTTCATTATTAATCCACAGGTTGTTATTTTTCAACTTCTACGGATTCAAAATTCAGGCCAATTAACATTTGATGTCATTGATAACTAGCCATTTTCACGCGTACTTAGGCTGATCCTATATAGTTACACCTCCCCACTAAAAACTTAGGCAAATTCATTTTCCAGTTAATGAATAATTACAAATGAGTGCTTAATTTATTTTAAACATATTGTTGTGTTTACAAATAATCTTGTACACTTTTCTAACTTTTCATCAGTGTGTCTTTTTCTGTTCGTCTAGGCGTTTCTCGATTACTGTTATTCATTTTATGCGTTCTTAGTGGAGCCTAAGATGTCAACGGGACATCTCTATCGCACTCAGTTCTGTGCCATCAAAGCGTTCAATGACTACCCGTCACATGATCTTCTCCATTTCACCCTCAGATCTATGCCTAACTCGTGGCTTTCCTCTTGGGTTTCAGTTAAGAGTCTATCTTGTGTCGATTTGTATCCGCTGACATACTTTTTAAATGATAGAAACCCAAGGGAGTTTAATGTTGTTATTATTTCTGTTTGCGACATTAAGGATCAAGGATGTCGAGAAAGATTATTGGCTGATAATATATGCCCTAGTTTTACTGCCAGAAATGCTAGTCGATCTAAGATTGAACTGGAATTAAGGGTTATGAGTGGTCAAACCAAAGTATTGCATCAATTCATGAAGTATTTGACTGTTGTTTAAAAAAAAGTACGAACTGATGGGTTTAGACTGCTCGACTACCTCCAACCATCTAATATCAACAATTCAAAATGCATCGGGATGGTGAGTCATCTAGAATGGTGGCCACATTGCAAACGTGACTGCTACAACTCAGTCTGCACCAAAGAGAGGACCAGACACATTACACTAGTCGCCGACTAGTGTCCAATCAGAAGTAATATGTGTTTGACGAACAGGGTATTCAGGCAGGCTAAAGTTCAAACAGGCTGCCCGTATAAATGAAGAACGAATTCAAGACACTAGCATTAGTTAAATGATTCGGGCGTTAATTTGGATGCCAG